CATCCATCCATCCATCATCCATCCATCCATCATCCATCATCCATCCATCCATCATCCATCATCCATCCATCCATCATCCATCCATCCATCCATCCATCCATCCATCCATCCATCCTAGCTCTGCTAACATTAGCATTAGCACAGCTAAGGCCTTAATAAACAAGGTGAAACAGTGTGTGTTTCCAAGTGTATTGTTTATTTGTTACATGTGACGTGAAGTACGCCACCTACAGGACACTGACATGGCTGACAGGCGGCCCAGCGGTGAAGACCACCTGGTCCTCAGTAATAGACCCCCAACTGGTCCCAGAAGTCGCACACGTGGCTCCTGGTTCCCACCTGTGCGTGTGAGTGCGTGGTCAGGTTCATCACCAGCCAACCACTGGTGTCAGAGTACGGCGGCCACGCGGGCGGACGCTGCTGTCGGCAGGAGGCCGTCTGTGGTGCTGGTGGGTTGGGGTCACCGGCGTGGGCGAACGCCCCCCAGTGGCACATCATCCGATTGGACAGCAGCCGTTCTGGTGGCGACAGGGTGAAGTTAGCGACGGCGGCCGAGCCGAAGAGGAGGGGCAGCTCCGCACCGTGACACGCCCGCTGGTAACAGAAGGTCAGGCCCGACCACACACGCTGGTCCGATGGTGCGTGGTCAAATATGTACATCCACACGTTGGTGCCCGCTGCCACGCCGGCGCGTGCCGACCTCCGAGATGGACACAGGAAGACGTAGTCGGTGACGATCTGAGGACAGAGTTGACATTAATGAAGGAGGGAATCGAACCCACGACGAACCACAGGCTTGATGAATTCTCCTCCTGAGTTGGTTAGTTAATTAGTTAGTTAGTTGGTTAGTTAGTTTGAGGACTCCACAGTGATGTCAGTGTTTGTTTATGAGCCTCTGAACTGCAGTTCCAGTTATGGCCAGTTATGGCCAGTATTCTTCATATTTTTGCTCCTGAGGTAAAACCTTAGCAGCCGTGGCCTCAGGTGGATTAAAGTCTGCCGCTTCATGGCCCTCTCTGGGACCCACGACCCAGATGTTTGGTTTTCTTATAAAGAACACTCTGCCTTCTGTTGTTCATGAGCGACTGGTTCTTTACATTTACTCCAAAGACCGAGAATTTAAAAAAAGTTTGGTTTAAAAAAAAAACAGAAAAAAACTGAAAATATGACTGAGGAGAACGACTGTTTCAACAACAACAACACAACCTGTTCACACACGTCTGACACCAGAACACAAGCAGGTTCATGGTGTGACGTGAATTGTTTTTGGAGTGCGCCATCTAGTGGGCCAGGTTAAAAAAGCTGGCAATGCTGGAACAACTGGTAACTGAAAGTAATTGATTATTATTATTATTATCATTGTTGTTGTTATTATTTTTATTGTTTCGAGGGCAGACTGATGAAAATACTCCCCCTGAAATTCACCCCCAGGTGGAGGTGAGACAACATACAAAGATATATTATACTTTTCTTATGAACTTTTTTTTCTTTATTAGTCTTTGTAATATAGAGGTTTAGGTTATTTACTTCATAAATGTTTTTTTATTGATCAGTTTTCGCACTTTTACCGAGAAAAACAACAGAGAAGATTAATGCTACTACTAAAAGGTAATTATCCCTAAAGCCTCTGAGAAACTCCATTATTGACTTAACTCTAATTATTATAAAAATAATAATAATTATTATTATTGTCGGTTGTTGTTGTTGTCGTTGTTGTTATTATTGTTGTAGTTATTGTCGTTGTTGTTGCAGTTATTGTCGTTGTTGTTATCGTTGTTGTTATCATTGTGGTTGTTGTTGTGGTTGTTGTTGTTGTGGTTGTGGTTGTTGTTGTTGTGGTTGTTGTTGCAGTTATTGTCGTTGTTATCATAGTTGTGGTTGTTGTTGTGGTTGTTGTTGTTGTCGGCTGTTTCCGTACCTGAGCCAGCATCTCCCTGCGGTCAGCGCCCCTGTACAGCGGCAGGTACCGGTGCAGGACCCTCAGCGTGTGCTGTTTGAAGATGGCGGTGATGTAGACGGTGGCCTCCACCACAGACACCGGTTTGGTGAAGACGCCGTACACGAAGATGACGCCTTCTTCAGAGGTGGTTCCTGGAAGAAGCCAAACACAGACCGTGACGTCAGCGGCGCCGAACCCCCGGCCCGTCTCATAGTTGTGGTCCACCGGCCCGATGTGGCCCACCGGCCCGTGGGTCTTACCCAACAGCAGCGGCTTCTCCTTCTGCCAGTGGCCCTTGTGAAAAGCTGTGAGCGTCTGTTCTTTGATCAGCTCTCCGTCCACGTGTGGCCCCCACGTCTCAAAGAGTTCCAGGAACCTGAACGGGTTCACGATCTTAGAACCTGAGGTCAGAAACCAAGAGTTTAACCTCACATCAGGTTTCCTCCTGTCTGGTCACTGGTCCAAACAGTCACTGGTCCAAAAAGTCACTGGTCCAAACCCTGACCAGTGACTGTTTATGGTGTGGATTGTTCTAGACTGGATGTATGTGGGCTGGTGTGTGTGGGCTGTGGGGTGTTGTGTGTGGGCTGCTGTATGTGGGCTGCTGTGTGTGGGCTGGTGTGTGTGGGCTGCTGTGTGTGGGCTGCTGTATGTGGGCTGCTGTGTGTGGGCTGCTGTGTGTGGGCTGCTGTGTGTGGGCTGCTGTGTGTGTGTGCAGCGTCCTACTTGTCTTCATCTGGGCCGTGAGGACGTCCTGCTCTGGCAGCGACAGCAGGCAGACGAAGTCGCTCACGGAGCAGTTGGTCTGTTCAGCGAAGTCCTTTCCCAGCTTTAAGGCGTCGTGTCTGAGGAAGAGGAGCAGAGAAGAGGAGGAGGAAGAGTTGGAGACCAGAACGAAGACGTCACTCACAGGAAACAGCGGTTCCTCCCAGTCCGTCACCTGGTCTTCAGGGGGATGGAGAAGGGCAGACTCTGCAGGACGGCTCGCTGGAACAGCGGCCCGCTGCTCTGGACCGTCAGGTGGACGCCCACGGACTGGGCTCCGGCACTTTCTCCAAATATGGTCACCTGACAACATCCGACAACACGGACTCAACATGAACGACGTCCGCTCTGTGTATGTGTGTGTGTGTGTGTGTGTGTGTGTGTGTGTGTGTGTGTTCTGGTTCTCTTACCTTGCTGGGATTCCCTCCAAATAAAGCAATGTTTCTCTGGACCCAAAGAAAAGCTGCCTGTTGATCCAAGATCCCATAATTCCCTGTGGCCGAGGAGTGAGGCTCCCTGCCCGACACCAGGAATCCAAAGGCCCCTGGAAGAAGACGTGAGGTCACATGATCGGCAGCACATGATCAACGGCAGCAGGTCATGGGTTTACTACGATCGTCGCTCAACAACGTGACCCACAGTCTGGACCCAGACTGTGAGGTCCACAGTCTGGGTCTGGGTCTGGACCGTGGACTGTGACCTTACAGCCCACAGTCCACAGTCCATGGTCCAAACAGTCACTGGTCCACACATTCACTGACCCAGACTGTGAGGTCCACAGTCTGGGTCTGGGTCACAGCCCACAGTCCACAGTCCATGGTCCAAACAGTCACTGGTCCAAACATTCACTGACCCAGACTGTGAGGTCCACAGTCTGGGTCTGGGTCTGGACCGTGGACTGTGACCTTACAGCCCACAGTCCACAGTCCACGGTCCAGACCCAGACTGTGAGGTCCAGGGACCCCCCCCTGGTAAAGACCTCTAACCCAGACTTGGGGGTGAATCGGTTCCGGGCGTCCTCACCGAGTCGGTACTCCACGCTCACCACCACAGTGTGCGTGAGGTTACTGACGAAGCGTCCGTCGTACAGAGGTTTGGAGGCAGAGCCTGCGATGAAGTCTCCTCCGTGGACCCACAGCAGCACCGGCAGCGGTCTCTGCAGCGGAGAGCGGAAGTCCACGTCCAGGGGGACGAAGACGTTCAGGTAGAGACAGTCCTCACTGACCTTCACGCACACAGAGAAGAAGACGACCAGGGTCATTAGACACGGAGTCACCGACACTCACCGTCTGTCTCTGTCTGTTGTCCTCTCTGCATTAACCACTGTTTTAAGTTGGACCATCGTCTCGTCTTACTTTCTGAGGACATTCGTCTCTGGCCGGTCCGGTGCAGGCCTGCATACACGCCGCCCGAGGGGAGGACGCGTCGTAGACATGAGGCCAGGGAGTCACCGGTCTGGGGGGCTTCCATCGGTAGGCCCCAGTGGGGGGGGCTGCGTACGGTACCCCATAGAAGACATGGGCTCTGTCCACAGTCGTCCCCTGGATCTGACCGTCTTTGGTCAGAACCAAAGGTCCAGGAGCTCTGGTGGTGTCCCGACCCACCTCCAGGGGGCTCCACTCCCTTATGGAGTTCATCTCAAACCGTCGGTCGTTGACGAACGGCTCGTCCCGTAGCAGCCCGCGCTGGACCGTTCTCAGGAGGCTCACCAGGTCCACGTCCTTCTTCATGTCCTCTCCAGAGGAGGACGCAAAACCCAG